AGCTTCCTCGCTGGTGGTTTTGATGATGATGATGAATCCTCTGCAGTATCCTCGTTAATAATATAGGCAGGCTTTAGTCGGTCGATCGATATAATCGTAGATTTCCTTCCGGGTATTTGTAGTTTAAAAGTCTTGCTATTTCTCTCTAATACTTTATACGGTCCATCGTAGGTAGGTTGAAATTGTTTTTTCATTGCGTCGTTTCTTACAAAAACTTGTTTGCATGTTTTCAAATCTTGGTGAATGAATACTGATTTATTATTTCTGTGTGATTGCATTTCGGTGCATTTCAACGATAAGGCTTTGTTAATTGATTCTCGAAGTTTAGTTACGAAATCGTAATCCATTTCTTGTTTGTTTGACGCTGCTGAACTGAAGAAGTCACACGGCAGCCTTATGCTGCAGCCGTAGGTTAGCTGAGCGGCGCTAAGACTAGTGTCTGCACGCGGTGTTGCTCGTAGTCCGAGTAGCACTGTAGGTAGCTCATCAATCCACTTTGTATGTTGAGATAAACGAGTTTTGAGTGCAGTCTTTAATGTACGATGCCATCGTTCGATTATTCCGTTTGACTGAGGATGGTATGCTGTTGTACGCGTCTTCTGTATTCCCATAGTTTGAAGAAGTTTGAGGAATAGGTTGCTTTCGAAATTCCTTCCTTGATCCGTTGTGATGGTTTTAGGTGATCCGAAACGAGTAATCCAATTTTCATAAATTATCTTCGCGACGGATTCGGCTGAAGTATCATCGGTAGGTATTGCTTCTGGCCATCTTGTTGTTCTGTCGATCATTGTTACGAGATAACGATGTCCTTGCGGTGAAGTAGGTAATGGTCCAACGATGTCAACGTGCAAGTGTTCGAATCTCTCCGTGGGTGGAAATGTAGCTAGACTACTTGATGTATGCCTTTGTACTTTGCATTTTTGGCATTGAATGCATTGCTTCGCCCAGTTGCCAACATCCGCTTGCATTGCAGGCCAAAAGAATTTTTCAGTGATGAGTTTTCTTGTTGTTCTAACACCTGGATGACTAATGTTGTGCAGTGTATTGAAGACTTCGCGACGACATTCTTCTGGTATGTATGGTCGCATGGTTGTCGTTGAGGCTTCACAGTATATAGGTAGATGCGTCATTGGCATTGTAACTTGCTTGATGGACAAGTTACCTTGCTTCGATAGATGTTTTATGTTGTCACTATCTCTGTCTTGTGCTGCGGCGATCTTATGATAGTTGATTGATGTAGGGCACGTTACACTGTCGATTGGTACGCGACTGAGTGCGTCGGCAACTATGTTGTCCTTTCCACTGATGTGACGTATGTCGGTCGTGAATTCACTTATGAAAATAAGTTGTCTTGCTCTTCGTGGTGTTTCCGATAGTGATGGTTTCTTTGGAAGTACATATGTTAATGGTTTGTGGTCGGTAAAAACGATCAGGTTTCGACCCTCGAACGTTTTTCTGAAGTGCTTGATAGCCATGTAAATAGCGAGTAGCTCTCGGTCGAATGTACTGTAGTTACGTTGAGTATCGGAGAACTTCTTCGAAAAATATCCAAGTGGTTGCCATTTCCCATTGCTGTATTGTTGGAGAACTGCTCCTGCTGAGAGATCGGATGCGTCGCTGAAGATAGCAAGGGTTGCTTCGTGTGATGGGTGAGCGAGTAAAGCTGCATTTTGGATCGCAATTTTACAAGCTTCAAATGCCTTCGTGGCTTCATCGTTCCATTCGATTGACGTTTTATCTTTTTTCTTCGTGTTGTGAAGGTAGGCGTGAAGTGGTGCTTGGATTTCAGCGGCTTTAGGTATGTGTTCTCTGTAAAAATTTATCATCCCAAGAAAACGCCTTAGCTCTTCGATAGTTTTAGGTTTTGCATAATCGATGATTGCTCTGACTTTTTCGGCAGGCGGTTTTATTCCTTCCTTGCTGACGGTGAAACCAAGAAATTGAACTTCTTGCTATCCAAATATGCATTTCGAAGGGTTGATTGTGATTCCGTTGTCTTCTAATCGCTGTAGCACGGTGCGTAGATGGGTTTCGTGCGTTTCTTTATCAGGGCTCGCAACAAGGAGATCATCAATAAATGCGAAAACGAAATCCAGTCCATGAAGTACTTCGTGTATGAATCTTTGGAAAGTTTGACCTCCGTTCTTTAATCCTGGGATCATTCTTGGGAATTCGAATAATCCCATTGGGGTAATTATTGCTGTCTTCTCTATGTCTTCATCGCGGACTCTTATTTGTTGGTAAGCTCGGTTGAGATCGATGGTGGAGAATATAGTCTTGTCTGATAGTTGATGAGTGAAATCCCTGACTCGCGGTATTGGGTAGCGGTCAGGAGTGGTAATAGAATTCAGTCTTCTGTAATCTCCACAAACTCGTAATTCTCCGTTCTTCTTCGGTGCAATGTGAAGTGGTGATGACCAAGGGCTTTTGCTTGGACGGCATATTCCTTGCTCAATCATGTTTTCGAATTCCTTTCGAACTTGCTCGTATAGGTGTGGTGCGATTGGACGTGCACGACAATGAAGTGGTGGTCCATTGGTGTCGATGAAATGCTCAACGTCGTTCTTCGGTGTTAATTTCATTGAAGTTATTCTTGTGATACCAGGGTATTCTTCGAGGATCTTGTGATACGGTTGTTGCACATCTATGCTTCTTATTGTGGGCAGATTGGTTGCTTGTACAAAAGACTGAGATGCAAGATTGGTTTTCCCGTCGATGATTCTTCTATTTTTGATGTCGACGACCAACTGGTGATGTTGAAGAAAATCAGCACCGATGATTGGTTTGCTGACTTTAGCGACGATAAATCTCCATTTGAATGGTCGGCGTAGATTAAAATCAAGTTCCATTGTTTTTTCTCCATATGTAGGAATAACCGTATTGTTTGCTGCATAGAGTTGAAAATCTAGTGGCTTCAACTTCTGTCCTTGCTTCGGCGGTAACACTGAGATATTTGCTCCGGTGTCGATAAGGAAAGTGAGCTTGCTTTTTTTATCGGTGACGAAAAGACGGTAGGACTTTGCTGTTACGCTGGATCCCGTCGCATCGAGCGTACTAGTTAGTTTTCCGTATTCGTATTTTCATTTTTGAACGTACACGGTGCTGTGCATTTTCTTGCCTCGACCCCGAAACGTCGATGATAGTAGCAGTAAGGGGATCTTGATGTTGAGCTTATTCGACTTCTACTTGCAGAGCGGTTGCGACGAAAAGGTGATCTTCGGTGTTGCTGATTGCGCTGGTTGTACTGTTGCTGGTAAAAGGTATGATGCTGGGAAGCTTTGAGCGCGGCGACTTCGAATGATAGCTTCCGAATTTCTTCGAGAAGAAACTGGGTATCATTGGCCTTTGTTGAAGTGCCTTCGATGATCGATATGTGTGAGCTACTGCTGTTTTCGATCATCTTGTCCGCCAGGAGTGCCAGTTCGTCGAGCTTCGTCTGCGTGCTGAATGTTTCGCTGACTGCTATTACCGATCGAATATGTGGTGGTAGGTGGTTTACCCACATTAGCCGTAGTGTTGAATCCGGAACTTTATCTCGCGCCAAAGTACGCATTTTGCGTAGGAGTTGTGTGGGTTTCTGGTCTCCAAGTTCTATTTCTGATAGAAGTTTTTGTAGCTGTCGACTGTCGGATTCTTCATATGCGGAGATCAGCCGATCCTTCAGTGAATTATACTGGTCGACTGCTGGTGGGTTGTACAACAGGTCCGCAATTTGTTCGATGTCTTGTTTCTCAAGTTGGGCTATCACCATCTGTGCTAATTGCGCTTGGCTCTTCTTTAAACCATTCGTTGCGGCTTCAAAACTGACGAACCAAAGTCGTGGTTTGTCTCTCCAAAACGGTGGTATTCTTAACGATAGAGATATACCGGCGATTTCTGGTTCCTTTACCGGGTTTGATGTATATGTGTTTGCCTCCTGCTCCATAATGACGGCTTGATTACACTGATTTTATATAAACTGAAGTCTTCCTTCTCGGTGTTCGTACGGGTTTCCTTCGCGGTGTTCGTGCAATAGTAGTGGTACGTCGCAGGGTGTTCCTTCTTGGTGTTCGTACCGGATCTTCCCCCTCGGTGTTCGTACGGGGTCACCACTGTAATAGTGGAGACGAACTGTCCACTATTAACAGACTCCGAGTGGTTTTCTTTAAGGTGGAGAAATGAAACTACTGTTTATGTTTATGAATGTACTGTCGAATGGGATTCGGAATGGAATATCTTTTGCATCAACCTTGCCTATATTTATATGGCTGGCTCACTATTGATTTGCCAATGGTAACAATTAATATTTTGCCTAGCCAATTATATTGCTTATTTTATGACCAATGAAAACTATTTAAAATATACAATTATCTACGTTTCGTTTCCCGGCGTGAGACTTGTTTGTTGTTCACGAAGCTACGTCGCTGGACCGGGCTATATAAGACATGCAGATCGGTGCGCACGCGTAGTCGGCGGCAGTGTTGCCACCTTAGTGGATTTTCCACTAAATCTGGTGGTTTGGAACCCCCTTTTAGTGGCAAATTTTTGCTTTTAGTGGCTAGTGGTTTTTTTTAGCGGATTAGGAATTTTATAATAAATTATAAGAAACGAGTCGTTTCATATAAATAGTCGTTTCAAACGTCTATTTAGCCATATTTTATACTTTCAAATATAAACCTATATATTTTTAGGAGTATATTTTACTACGCAGGCAACACCAATCCACGCATTCACGGGGGTTCCCCGTTAAATATATTTAGTATAAGACAACTAATATAAAACGATGGAATGCAAGGGCGAGATCTATCTGTATCTCGCTCTCCGGAATACTAAATAGTTGAGAGGGATATAATTTCCGCTTTCTATTCTATTTGACAGCATTTTACAATACTTAGTCCAATGTTTTTGAACTCGGTCACGCACGATCACTCGGATTCAGTGCCTCAATGTGCGTTGTTGTTTGTTTTTGTTTCGTTTTGCGATTACACATTTTTAAATAAAAATATTATTCATACGACGTCATGCCGAAACCTCAATATTCCCAAAAATTTAGGGATTCTTGGCTTCAAGATCCCGATTTAAAAGAATGGCTTCAAGCAGTTGAAAGTACCACTGGCCAAGTAGCAAAATGCAAGTTTTGTGGAACGATATTAAGAAGTCACTACGGAGATTTAAAAACACATGCTCTTTCGAAAAAGCACCAACAAAATAGAAAGGTAAATTATAGCTTTGTCTTTGTTATTTATAACGGTTCGAACTTGGTCAATTAATGAGGTTGCATTTAAATTTTTCTTATATATTTCATTATTTGTTTATAGGTTATCACCAAACAACCTAAGCTGACATTCAAAAAGGAGTCTACTGATAATAAAAAGAAAGATGAAGCCAGAGTTGCCTTATTTACAGCAATGCATACAAGTATACGAACAGTTGATCATTTAGGAGAAGTTATTAACCATAGCCATGAAAAAGAAATAAATAAAATGCAGATGCACCGAACTAAGTGCACGTATGTAATAAAAAATATTTTAGCATCTCATTTTACAGAACTTATAAAAAACGACATTAAAGATCAACCATACAGTTTATTAATAGATGAATCCACAGATATTGCTGTACAAAAATATTTGGGTTTAGTTATAATTTATTACAGCACTACACATGAAAAAATAGTTTCAACTTATTTGGACCTTGCTGAACTCGACGCATGTAATGCTGAAGGTATTGTTTCTGCCATAAAGCGGACGCTTAAACATTTCGACTTGCGAATTGAAAACTTAATGGGTATTGGCACAGATAATGCTTCGGTGATGGTTGGCGTAAATAATGGAGTTTTTTCCCGATTGAAACAAGAAATACCGCACTTAGTTTTGGTACGTTGTTTATGCCACTCCTTGCAACTGGCTGTTTCAGCAGCAGCAAAGGAATTTCTTCCGCGAAATCTTGAATTTTTAATTAGAGAGACATATGATTGGTTTGCTCGCTCGTCTTCCAGACAAGTTATCTATAAAGAGCTATACAAATCCATCAACGATGGACAGAAGCCTCTTAAAATTGTTCAAGCCTGTCAGACTAGATGGTTATCCATAGAGTCTGCTGTGTCGAGAATTTATACGCAATGGCTGGAGCTTAAAACTCATTTTTCGATTGCTAAGTTGCACGAAAGGTGCCACACGTCAGAGCTATTGCACTCTATGTATGCGAATGATATAAACTATGCATATGTATCATTTATTTATCCAATTTTGATTGATATAAACAGAGTTAATAAAATGTTTGAGTCAAAAAATACGGACCACACCTTATTGTGCGGTGAATTAACAAACTTGATTGATACGCTTGTCACCAAAGTAACGTTGCCTACACATAAGATAGATATCTTTACTCAAAATATTCGTGACTATTTGGACCAAAGATGCTACCTGGGATTCCGATTCGAAAAACATATTCAAGAAATGAAAGAGAAAGGTTTTCCCCGGGAAGAGGAAGAAGTATTGCGGAATAGGTGCATACAGTTTATAGTTTGTTTGATTGACGAAATAAAAAAACAAATTGCCGGAAAATATTACTTTCATGAAATAAATATCCCGTATAAGTGTCGAAAAAGCCCTGCATCACAACAAAGAAAATCTTGTTGATATAATGGCTCGGTTCGTAACAAGTACAGAATTAATTGCAAAAATTGACGATCAATGGCAGCAAATTCATTTACTGAGATGGAATGAAACAAAAGATACAAAAAATTTTTGGAGCGAAGTCTTGAAATTCAAAGATGCACAAGGTGTTGCTCGATTTCAAGAATTAGCAACATTTGCGATTACACTTTTGGTATTGCCACATTCGAATGCCGATGTGGAAAGACTTTTTAGTAGCATGAATATTATAAAAAACAAGCAGCGAAACAGAATGAAGCTAACTCTTTTGAAATCAATTCTAAAAATACGCTGCGGTATGCAGTTAATGGGAAAGTGCTACAACAATTATGAAATTCCTTTAAATCTTATAAAACAAATTGGGACGAAGGAGTCATATCAGTCCGATAAGGATAACAGTAAGGCTGAAAATGAAAATGCAGATTCATCTGAAGACGATTTATTAATGTAAATAATATCTTAAGCAACTTTATTTTTTTAATTACTAAAAGTAAAAAAATTATATTAACAACAATGAGATTTTTAATAATAAACGTACTTTTACTTTTTTTTTGCTTTAATCATATTCATATATCTTAGTGGAAATTTTAGTGGTTTTCAGAGGGGGACATCTTTTTGTTAGTGATTTTCTGGTGGTTTGAGGAGCCTTGTCTGGCGGATTGCTATTTCATCCGTTGGCAACACTGGTCGGCGGGCGGCGGCGGTGTGGAATACAGCTCCGGAACAGCAAGAGGAAACGAACTGCGGCGTTGAAGAAACGGCTCACCATTGGTCGACGGATACGTGACGATAGCGGCGTGTGAAGTCGGTGTGGCGCTGAATGATATTTGCGGCTGCTTCTTGTTTCTTTATAAGAACGTCAAATTATCTGCACATATACAGTCCGCAGTATCTCAGTAGCCAAGAATAATTAGGAAATAAAATGTTTTTTTTATTTATTCTCGCCTTCCGCGTTATGGTAGCAGCGGAGTATATATTATTTATTCCCGTTTCGGTTTGATTAATCTGGCTGCTACAGTGGTTTGACTCTATAGGTAATGAATAGAAAATGGTGCGAGAAACCAGAAGCCGGAAACTGCCCATGATTTACAACGTGTTCAGTAGACGAAACTATTATCAAATCTAGCCATGAATCAGCAGTGTTAATATTAGAATACGTGGGTCCAAGAGGGAGAATAGAGAAATTTACTGAATTCTTGATCATTCGTAGTTCTCGCGATCTAGAAGAGTGCTGCAAAAGGTCAGTATTGAAGTCGCCCATAATTATATGATGTGCGTACTCAGATGCGATATTCATGATAGCGGACTCAAGGTCATGAAAATAGTTAACTGAAGGCGGAGAATATACAACTCCAAGAATAATTTTGTTTCCATTTAAGAGAACTTCTACGAAGAGGATTTCGTAATAGTTCAAAGCCGGGTATACTAAAAGAAGTCGAGAGTAGAGCTGGTTTGAGCCAGGTTACAGAGATTAAGATAGCATGGATCGTATCGGTAAAAATATCCAAAAGTTTGGAGAAATGATGTGGTAAGCTCTGCGCATTGATGTGACAAACATTGAAGTGTTTATGGGAATTTGTAACTTATTGAGCAATAAACATGGTTAGATAACCGGTTCTGTTACCAAGTCTTCAGTGGACTTAAAAGATAAATCTGAGTCAGAAATCGAGTAAAAGAAACCATCATCAGACATTGTATTGTAAAACGAATTAATGTAAGGTATGTAAAATTGATATGATATTATATATATATGTATATATATATATATATATATATATATATATATATATATATATATATATATATATATATATATATATATATATATATATATATATATATATGTATATACATATATATAAATTATAAATATGTAAATATAAATGCACGCAGTTAATATAGGCACTAGCCCGCCGGTCGACTGTTTACAGTAAGCAAATAAGGAGTCTACAAAATTTATAATTATGACCAGATACAAAATCATAAACATCCAAGTATGTCTGAATATTAACGGTACAAGATTACAAAGGTAAGGTGAATTAAATTCGACATAATCTAAACAGCACATAATTTAGATCATGTTGTGACATAACTGCTAGTAGTAAAATAATTTCAAAAAAATATTTAAATTGCTAATGTAAAAGAAAAGAGAGAGAGAGAGAGAGGTCAAACTTTGGTCAAAACCCCGGTAGCTACCGATACAACATTAAAGGAAAATCATTTCTTATTTAACCTATGCATGAGGTGCTATCTACTCTCCCCCAAAAGTACTCTGTGGTATGTTTATTGTTTGTTATATTATGTTACATGTCTATTCTGTTATTTTATTGTATACTAATATTACCTACTGTTCTATTATAAAATATTAATCCAATATATTTCCATCTAATACACAAAAACATTTAAACGTATACTTACTAGTACTGATATTTGAAATCATAGATTGGGTACAAATCATTATTAGATATTATTATATTTAACAATCAGTATAAAAATTAATAAAAGTGTACTGAATTATCTAATAGCATAGGTATCCGGTTATATTATTGAATTCCATGTACTAATTATGCTATAGTACTATCTTTTTTAAAATATATAATGTAATGAATAAAATCCTAGACCTAATGTATTATGTAATGAAATCATTATAATTAAAACTTGTAGGTTACGAATAGAAATATTTATTTATTTATTTTATTCTTTATTGCATCCTTAAACAAAAGAATACAAAGGGCGGACTTAATGCCTTGAGGCATTCTCTACCAGTCAACCCATGGAGTGGTGAGAATTTGATGTAGGTGTGGCAATAAGAGAACACTATACAAATGATAATTAACTACATAATATATACAAACTACTAATAAATAAACTATACATATATGATCTATCCTTACATATATACAAATATATAAATAAATGGATATACATACAAGTATATATATATATATATTTAAATACATACATAATTAGTATATACAAATGACTATGAATATATACGTCTGTTTGGCAATACATATTAAATAGATGAGTCATGTAAAATGCATTGTCTTTAAGAAATGATCACGGACCAACTTAAACTTTAACTATTTTCATGACCTTGAGTCCGCTATCATGAATATCGCATCTGAGGTACGCACATCATATAATTATGGGCGACTTCAATACTGACCTTTTGCAGAACTCTTCTAGATCGCGAGAACTACGAATGATCAAGAATTCAGTTAATTTCTCTATTTTCCCTCTTGGACCCACGTATTCTAATATTAACATTGCTGATTCATGGCTAGATTTGGTAATAGTTTCGTCTACTGAACACGTGTAAATCACGGACAGTTTCCGGCTTCTGGTTTCTCGCACCATGATTTTCTATTCATTACCTATAGAGTCAAACCACCAAAAATTACCGCACCTGTTATGCGTCTGCGTAGCTTTGCGACTCTGGATTTGGAGTTGTTGAAACGGAAAGCCGCCTCAATAGATTGGTCAGATATTTTTTATACATCAGATGTAGATCATATTGTAGAGACACTTAGGTACTAATAATATCCTTCAGTTATACGATGCAATAGCCCCGATTCGCAATGTTAAAGTCAAGCGCCCCCCAGCACCGTGGATGGACAGTGACATCCGCAAAGCAATGGCAAAACAATTGGAATGTATATAAGGCTACCAGAAACAGATGCAATCAGATGGTTCGAGCTGCAAAACGCCGACATATCCATAAGAATATTCGAAGCTCTTCGCCAGCCGGCACTTGGAAGTTTCTTAATTCCCTTGGCTTAGATAGACAAAAGATATATATGTGACATGGGGTATATCTGATATGGGGTCAATATCTCTCAATGATCTTAATAAGCACTTCTCCTTGGCAACTAAATTCGATAATTCCATTAAACATAGAGCTATTTCTCTTATCTCATCACTTCCCAAAATCGATTTTTTCTCCAGTAACCGATGTAGATGTTCGTAAAATTATTTTTTCCATTAAATCTAAAGCAACTGGCTATGATGATGTGAGTAGAAATATGATTATGCCCATACTTGAAAACATTCTCCCAATTATTACCCACATCATCAATTTTTCTTTTTCTACTGGGGGTTTTCCATCTTTTTGGCGTAAAGCATTTGTCCTTCCACTTCCCAAGTTAAATAATCCCAGTTCTGTTAACCATTTTCGGCCAATTTCTATACTTCCTTTTCTTTCAAAGATTTTAGAATCAGCTGCATGCAAATAGCTATCCAGCTACATTTATAAAAATAATCTTCTTAGTCCCTTACAATCAGGTTTTCGTTCTGGGCATAGTACAACCACTGCTCTCCTTAAAGTTCTTGATGATGTACTAGAGGGTATGGAGGAATCAAAATTAACGGTTCTCGTATTAATTGACTGCTCCAATGCTTTATGTACAGTTGATCATGACATTCTTCTTGCTATCTGTAAATACATGGGTTTCTCTTCATCAGTTTTGGATGGGTTATCAACTTATCTTCGTGATCGCCAGCAAAGAGTTAAAGTCAACCAACAGTCTTTCTCTAATTGGTCTGATCTTACTGCTGGCGTTCCACAAGGCGGAATTCTTTCCTTTATTATTTTCTATTTTTATAAATCTCATAACTGTAAATTTCAAATGCTCCTACCATCTGTATGCTGACGATTTACAGCTGTACGCTCGGATTGGTCCAGCAGAGGTTAACTCCGCGATCGAAATTTTAAATCTAGATCTTGAGGCCATCTGTGACTGGTGCAGAAATTATGGAATTGCTTTCAATCCTGTTAAATGTCAAGCGATAATTCTCGGTAGTCCTCACCGTATAGCTAAATTAGATTTTAATTCACTGGAGCCTATCGTTTACATTATTCCTCTTAGTCATGTAGTTAAAGACCTTGGGTTAATGATTGATGCTAATTTAAGTTGGCAATCTCAGGTGGCTGAAATAAGCCGGAGAGTGACAATCACCCTGCGTGGCCTTTATCGTTTCAAGAATTTCCTTCCAACCGAGACTAAGGCTATGTTGGTGCGAGCGCTTGTTTTACCAGTCATTGATTATGCTGATGTTTGTTACTCTGATGTGAGTCAAGTACTTCTGTGCAAATTGGATCGTTTATTAAATAATTGCATCCGTTTTATTTTTGGCCTTCGTAAATACGATCAGGTATCCATATATCGTTCTAAACTTAAATGGCTCCCTATCCATCAGCGTAGATGTATCAAAATTCTTCGCACGCTTTTTTCAATCCTCGTATATGATCCATGCACTCCCCAATACCTGAAATGCAAGTTTCAGTATTTGGGTTCTTCTCACTATCGTAACCTGCGACCCTCCGAGGGAACTACATTATGTGTTTTTCCTCGCCGTACCAAATTTATCTCTCAGCCTTTCGCCGCTGAGGCCATAAGGCTATGGAATAAATTACCCCCTCATATCAGAAAACCGACTTCTGTTGCTACC